GGCATAATTGGACAGATTAATGCCCAGATTTGTATCGGCGATGTGAAATTGATGGGCCGCATTCTAGTTTCCTCGTCCCTCGCTGTTCCGTGCTTACTGGGAACCGATTTCCTGGGCAAAATTCCTATAAAAATTCTTATCGACCAGGGCTGTATTGAACTGCTCTCCGGTCAACGTATGGCATTCCTGCCTTCCCACACTCTGTTACGTATGGCCTGCGCTACCGTTCAGGCATTGGCGTCCCAAACGGTGTGCATTTCGCGGGGTGCGCAGATGTTGGTTTCATTTCGGCTATGGAAACCTCTTGATTCAGGGACGATGGCAGGGGGGTGTTCTGCTGGGTCCTTCAAACACTGCGGTTCGGGGGTTAGAGCTTATCGGTGCACAGACTCTGGTATCTGGGGACCGGGATCCCTTAATCCAGGTCTTGAATGGCGGGTTGCGAACGACTGTTATACCGAAAGGTACCTTGCTCGCTCACGCGACGCTGGCGCTCCAGGCAGATTCGGTTGTAGGCCATGTTGGAGCCGTACCTCGATCGCAACCACATTCTGACCTCGATGAAGGATGGTTGGACTCACTTTGCTCGGCAGCTGGCAACCTGTCTGATTCCCAGAGAGGTAAATTGTTCGCGCTATTACGGGAATTTTCCGATGTTTTTAATAAAACTAAATTTGACATTGGGTGTAGTAAATTGCTGAACCATCATATCGACACGGGTGACACTGCTCCAATCCAGCAGATCCCGTTCCGCTTGAGCCTGGCTGAAAATAACATGTCAGGTTGGCCGTCAATATGTTATCTGTGGACATAATTTCCCCATCCACCAGCCCACGGGGGGCTCCAATTGTCCTCGTGAAGAAGCATGATGGCAGCTTAAGGTTTTGTGTCGATTTCCGTAGGCTCAATAAAATTTTGGTGGCTGACGCATATCCACTTCATCGTATGGACGAGTCGCTGGATGCCTTAGCGGGGGCACGTTACTTTTCAACACCACACCTTTTTGTCCAGTTTTTGCAATTGCCCTTCGACGGGGAATCAAAACCTAAGACCGCTTTCCGTACGCCGCAGGGCCTTTTTGAATTTAACTGGCTGCCCATGGGTCTCCACTCGGCCCCAGCAACATTCCAGCAGTTGATAGAACTGGTTCTTGCTGGGCTCCAATGGGACTTATGCCTGATATTTAGATTACGTTATTCTCTACAGCCGCACTTTCGAAGAATACCATGGGATGCGACCATCTCGGCCTCTTAATGACGTGGGACGGCAGTTTGCGCCGATACAAAATTATTGTGCCCACTGCCCTGTGGGGCAAGGCTGTTTGGGCTGCCCACGAGCGCTTCTTACACTTATGGGTGCACAAAACCCTTGCTATGCTCCAGCTCGACTTCTTCTGGCCAGGCATGGCAAGGGATGTGGCTGACTTGCTGCAGGGCTGCACCAAATGTACATGGCAGAAGCTGCCAGATCGGCCGTCTTGCCCGCCCTTGCAGTCCATTCAAGTGTCCCGCATTAATGAACTTGTCACCTTGGACATCCTAGGGCCCTTTCCTGCCACTCCACGAAGTAACAAGTACCTGCTGGTTGGAGTGGAGTATTTCACACGCTGGCCTATGGCCTGGCCGCTCCCAAACCAGTCGGCGGCAACTATCATCGAGGACTTTGTCCAGGGCTATGTTTTGGACAAAGGTGCTTCCGAACAGCTGCTGATCAACCAGGGAAAACATTTTTCATCCACCTTGCTGCGGGATGTGTGCAACATGCTGGGCATGCAGAAAATTAATACCTCGCCATATCACCCACAGACGGATGGTATGGTTGAGCGCCTGCAAAGAATGCTCACCTCAATGCTGTACCATCAGGTGAGCGAATCACATCTTGATTGGGATCTACAGATCCCCGGGGTTCTAGCTGCATACAGGATGACACCTCATGCAGCAACTGGATACTCACCGTTTTACTTGATGTATGGCAGAGACATTAACCCCCCCGTGTAGGTGCAACTGCGCTTAAACCGGCCGCCTCGAAGTCTAAAATAACTGACCACATGTGGTTTAATCTTCAGAAGTTGACCGAAACCGCGTGGGTAAATTCTGGCTCACGGTAACTGTCCAATGAGCGGTTGCGGATTCTTCGTGCGTCCAGACATTTGTGGGCAAAAGTGGACAGGGCCTGGCTCCATTGCCCCCAGGTGCCGTTGGCGACGTCACCGAAGTAGTTGCTCAGTCCCTGGAGGGGCCCTGTCGATGTCAACCAGGTCGTTCGCCCCCAGTGTGTTAAAGTACAGTGGGGCAGGCAGTGTTGGTACGTCCACGCATCGTGCCTCAAACCCTTTGCCATGCCGCGCTCTTCCACTTCACCTATACATTGCGGGGGCCGAGTGCATGATGTGTCCAACGAGCCAGGTTGCGTGTCCACGGTGCCTAAGCCTCAGCACAGTCGTGTTGATGTACCCCCAGATCCCGCAGGAATGAGTCCTCCAGGCGTCCACGCTGGCGAGCACTCACCCGCCGGGCCGGATGCCCCTCAGGCTGGGCCGGTCTCTGCCGATCCACCACCGAACCCCCCTGACTCGTATGATGGTCCTGCAACGTGGACCTGATCTAAGACTCCATAGTTTTCATAACCCCCCCCCCCCCCCCCACATGCACCACACTGTGCGCTTACCTTCGCATCCGCCGGATTGTCTCGGTTGGTGGCCTTCCTTGCCTCTGTCTTGCGGACGGTCGGACGAGTCATCATTGCCTTGGCTTGCACGTGTGCTGGGAGGGGTGACGTGTGCGGTCGTGCAGGCCCCATTTTTGTATGTTTGTTTCTAGTGTAATTTTGTACAGGTGGGCTAGGGTATTTATGTCGGGTTATTCTTGTTTATGTTGAGGCACACGTACTTTCATGATGTTATTGCAATGTTCTTGTGGGGAGAGTTGGCAGCCGGGACGGCTGGGTGCTACGAGGCGGGGGGGGGGTAATGTAATGGCATTGTTGGCCACGGTTGCCACTACTCATAGCTGGTAGTACTGGCCCCGTGTCAACAGGGGGCAGAAGGGAGGCAGAGCCGGCTCGGTAGATGAAGTCGGGCCATTGGGCCAAGGTAATCTCCGGGGAGCATCGTGACCATGGGTGCGGGCCCCAGACTCCAAGAAGGGAGCTGGGGGATGGTGTCACACTCCAGGTCGCTCGGGAAGATTGCAGAAGGAAGGTGTGGCTAGGGGCGGAGTGAGCTGGGACTGTGTATAAAAGCTGGGTCCCTGAAGAGGCCCGGAAGTTGTCATCCACTCGAAGACTCAAGAAGCCACCTGGAAGACCTGGAGCCGGGGGCCGGACCCGAGGACCTTGGCTGGGTCGGGTCCGAGCAGCCGCGTGGATAGGACCCGAGGACCTTGGCTGGGTCGGGTCAGGTTAGCCTCCCTAGGTCGCACTAGCCGTAGGACCCTTAGCGGACAGCTCTCCCAGTGTGTAGGGCACGCTAGGAGGACATACCTCCTTAGGATATTGGATGAAAGGGGCTGTAACCCCTTTGTGTTAAGCTGTATCGTTATTGAATAATAAACGTGTTGCCTCCAGAGAAGCCTCCTTCCATTTGTACCCACTACATGTGTATGTTGAACTTATTTCGCACTGTGCATAGCCAACCATGCTAATCGGAGGTTGCGGGGTAAGAATAACAAACTAAACACAAAAAGCAGTTATAAGAAAACGAGTTTTCAATTTAGTATAGTGGTGTAGTGTATAGTAGTATAGTATACAGTCGCATAGTGTATCCTGTAGTGTATAGTAGTGTAGTGTATCAAGTAATGTCTATAGTGTCTGTAGTGTATAGTGTAGTATATAGTGTTTGCACCGTACATAGCCAAACGCGTTAATCAGAGGTGGTCAGGTAGTCTGCCCGCTGCTGACAAATCTGGCTGTCGCCTGATGAAGCTAGTTGTAATCCTGGCGAAACATGATACTCAGATTGTAAATGTTGTGGCTTGGCTCTCCAACACACTGGTGTGCTGTACTAGTAACGAATTGGCAAATTGTGTTTACGTGACAAATTTATATATTTATGTGATCAAACCAAAAAAAAACCTGTATTATGCTGAAATAGCCTTCCACACTACTCAGTTAGCCCCACCCACTACTCATATAGCCCCGCCTACTACTCAGCACCGCCGACTACTCTGATAGTCCTGCCTACCACTCGGTTAAACCTGCCCACTATTCAGGTAGCCCTGCCCACTACTCAGGTGGGACCGCCCATTACTCAGGTAGCCCCGTCTACTACTGTACTCAGCTAGCCCTGCTCACTGCTCTTGTAACCACGCCCACTAATCGGGAAGCCCCACCCACTACCCGGGTAGCCCCGCCCACTATTCAGGTAGCCACCGCCCATAACTCAGGTAGCCCCCACCCATGACTCAGGTAGCCCCGCCCACGACTCAGTTAGCCCCCACCCACTACTCAGGCATCGTGAATCCAGGATTTGGCCCGAAAATATTAAACCGGGGGTTTAAAATCCGGATTTTCACAAACGTTCAGGATATCGGGAAAAACATTTTGAAACTAAAACTGGCACAGTTAGTAGCTTTATAATTAAAATGTCCACCACCGCAGGTCTGGCTGCATGAGGAAGTACAGCAAGCGGTAAATATTTACGTCTCTTGTGGCTATAGGGCAGCGCCTAAACTACGGTGGCGAGATGTTTACTACCTAGCCTGGTATACAGGAGGTCATGGGTTCGATCCCGACCCTGATGCCTGCTGTATATTTGGAGTTTGCACGTCTATTTCCCTGTGGTCGCGTGAAATTTCTCCGGGTCCTCCGGTTTCTCCATTCACATTTATAATATCACGCGTTTAGAATATTTTGCTGCTGCTATATATTTCCACGTGATAATCCACTTCATTGGGCTGTTATTTGAGCCACACACACACAAATTAAAATGCTTGAACAAATCAGCAATGAACACTCCTTAGTGAAACTCGTGGACTGACAGAATTGAGGCAATCAGAGCTCACCTCGACTCTGCTGCTCCGTCGTGGCCATGACCGTCGGTTTCTCAGCCACGGCGACCCCAGCCATCCCCTCGGCCCCAGGGGAGGAGATCCCCAGGGTCTGTGCCCCGCCCACCGCTCCCTCCTCTGCCGTCTCCCTTCTCTCCTGCGCGCCCGGCGCCTCCGTGCCCTTATTCCCCCATGCCGCCAGTGTCGGTGAGGTCACGGGCAGGTCGATGAGATCCACGGCGCCGTAATGGTAGGGCTCCTGATCCCGAACGACAGCTCTGTAGACCGTCTCGTGCCTTTGGCACCTGCAGTCGAATGCATGCCATCAGTCCCTTTGCCTGTATGGTTTGATGCCAGCGGTCGATTTGCGAGTCTCATATCGCTTATCGACCGCCCAATGTCACCACGCTGCCAACACCTGGCGTCTGTGAGTTGATGAGTGGATGGGTGAGTGTGTGGGGGGCTGAGTGAGTGAAGTAGTGAGTGAGTCAGAGATTGGCTTCCTGGGTGGATAAATGAGTTGGTGAGTGAGTGAGTGGGTGAGTTTCCGGATGAGTGAGGGAGTGGTTGGATGAGTGAGTGGGGTAGTGAGTAAGTGATTTAGCGTTTGGGTTAGTGGGTGGATGAATGACTGAGTGAGAAAGTTAGTGGGTGATTGAGTGAATGAGTGGGTCAGAGAGTGGATGAGTGGGTGAGTGAGTGGATGACTGAGTGAGTGGGATAGTTAGTGGATGAGTGAGTGAATTAGTCAGTGAGTGATTCAGAGATTGGCTTCCTGGCTGGATAAATGAGTGAGTGAGTGAGTGGATGAGTGTGTGTGAGTAGGTCAGTGGGTGGGTAAGTCAGTGAGTGGGTGAGTGAGTGGATGAGTGAGACCAGTCTGTCTATCATTGTCTCTAGATCAGCTCAGAGGCTGGTCTCTAAGTCTGTTGTCTAGCGACCCCATCAGAGTCCGGGCTGTCGTCAGTCTCGAGATGTAGTTGCATTTCGAGACTGTCGAGTTACCATCCAGAGGGTGAGTGCTGGTTCACACTCGACAACGAGATTTCGATTCCAAATCATGGCAAGCATAAATCTTCTAACTTCGTGTGGATGCAGATCAACAGCTACAATTTCACATTCAGGTGGTCAAGCCAGATAACAACCGCGTCAGAGAGATTAACATTAACATGGCCACTTCCGTGCCTTCGCCATGGATGTCGCCCTCCGATCTTACATTAACATGCTAGTTTCTCACTTCTTTATAACCCTTGGGCTACACCCATTTTACCCCTTTAAAACAGTCTGCCTCAGCAGCTTTCCTTTTTTTCCTCCTAGTGACGATCGCTTGTGTTGTGATCGAAACGTCATAGTTTTTTTGTTATTTTATTTGAACCTATCTACGTGACTTTACCGAAAAATCCAAAGAAAACATGTTGTATGGTCTGTTCTGGATGACCACAGTCGCACACTGGAGAGTTTTTAATATTCCATATTTTGTGCATCAAGTATCCGCATCTGTTGTCATGGTCTGTGCAGTGTCCAGTTTAGGGTGGACCATGAGCACCTTCGTGGAAGATAAAAACCCAGGGATCTTCTGCGTTGGGTCTGTCAAAATAATGAGCCACAAGTGAGATCAGAATCTGTCCCTTGATCCCCCCCTCCCAATCTCCCCATTCGCCAACTCACATGGCATGGAGAGGGGAGGCTTTCATCCTACTGTGGATTTGAAAAGGGCCGTACATGATTATTATAATTTTAATAATTATCCCTGTAGACACCATATTTCAGTTAGAAACGGGAATGACAAGAATGATCAATAGTTGTGTTTCATCTCGTAAAATGCGGTGATGTGCCCTTCTGGATGTATTTCGTAAGGTAGGTGGTGACCGACAGAGAGAGAATTACGTTGTATAGGTAATTATTTTGCAGTTGGTATTATTCATGCAACGTGACACAATTATTTACGTTGATACAACAAAATAAACACAAATCTCTCCATGGCCTTGCCCACCTCATCTCGTATATCATCTCCTTCCATGTGCCATCCTCCCGTCCTCTTTGGTCTCAATCCTCCCTCTCTGTCCCTCCTTCTCCCTGCGCCCAATCCCGTTATTAGTTCTTTTCCCTCCTTGCATCCCTCCACTGGAATAAACTTCCCTTGTACACTCAGCAGCAAGGCCCATAGAATCAACACTACACCATAGACTCAACACTGTGCATATACACAGCACTGCCCTTATACTCAACACTACACCATCGTATCAACACTGCCCATAGACTCATACTGCCTATAGACCAACCAATGCTCATCGACTCAACACTGCCCATAGACTCAATACTGCTCATAGACTCAACACTGCCGATAGACCCAACACTGCCCATATACCCGTCGCTATTAAACATTTGTGGACAAGAGCTTCGTAGCTCATCGGATTCATCCATTATACGCACTGTGTGAAAGCAGTGCGTCTAATGGATTGATTCTGACATGGGTGGAGACAATGCGAGTTGGAGGAGCGGCAGTGGCAGTGTAGCATCGCACAGCGTTTACCATCCCAGCCAGGACCTCTCGGCACACTCCTCGTGCTCCTCGAGAGTGAAGCAGGGCACGCTGATGACGTTGAAGTACGCCTGGCCCATGACGAGCGACGCGGTGTCGTTGGACCTCCGCAGGCACTGCTTGAAGCTACAGAATGAGAGGAAAGGGGGTGGTGGGCGGCAGTGGCGAAATGTTAACTACCTCGCCTGGTGTGCAGGAGGTCGTGAGTTCGATCCCGACCATGAAGCCTGCTGTATATTTGGAGTTTTCACGTCTCTTTCCTCGTGGTCGTGTGGATTTTTATTCCGGGTCATCTGGTTTTTCCTTCCACATTTCGAATCTACGCGCGTTTAGAAAATGTAGTTTCTGCTATACATTTCCACGTGATAATAAGCCACTTTGTTTGATTTATCATTTATGACCAGATCGCTTCTGAAAAAGAGTTACATAGCTCAGGGGGCTTTACCTGGTAACCTTACTTTTTATTGTTTTTAGTTTAACATGTTTCCAGGTCCTCCGTGTTTTCCCTCCACATTTAGAATTAACATCATGAGTTTTAGAGTATTTGGCTGAATCTTGATTTGAAACTTTCGTGCTTGATGACGACTGCTTGTGTTGTGATCGAAACGTCGTGAATTTTTTGTTTTATTTTATTTCTAACTACGTGACTTTACCGAAAGCACCAAAAAGTAAGTATTTTGCTGCTATACATTTCCACGTGGTAAACAACCTCGTGGAGCTATCATTTGTGTTCTAGGTCGCTTTTAAAAAAAACCTCCTATCTTATTGAGCTCTACCTGGTAAAATAAATGTATTTCTATCTTGTTATTTTATTACTTTTCCCATACTTTGCACCCCTCTCGGGTTTTCGTATTGTTTGTTGTAACTTTATGACCTGCCCAGACTGGACATCTGTGAAAAGGAGCATCACAGCTCATCGAATTTCTCCAGTAAAAATAAATATTCCGAATATGACTTTTCTCTTCGTGTCTCTGGAAGTTACCACATTTCTAGGATGCTCAACTCGGACACGTGGCCAGATGGAGGCCCCTCCCTCTTTCAGCCCCGCACACTTTTACACAGCCACACCCATCAAATCACAAAGCCCGCTCACACGGAGTAAAGGCTACCACTCTGTACCTGATTGCAATAAGTTAAAAAAGTGAGTCAGGCTGATGGATGATCAAGTACTCGATCATTCATTTCAATCACACATTGATTCCTCGTCCTCCCAGACTTAACCGTTTAATCTCTCCAAAACCCTGTTCAACCACCACACTCAATCATTCACGATACCACTCACTCAACCAATCAGATAATTATTCATTAACCCACTCACTCACCACACAATGACTCATGATACCACTCACTCAATCACTCATTCACACACTCACACACTGATCCACCCACTCACTCACCACACTCACAATACCACTCAACCACTCACACAATTACTCACTCACAAACTCATTCCTCACCCACCCACTCATACACTTACTCACCCACTCACTCACCTCACTCATGAAACCATTCACAAACCCAAATACTCACTCAGAAACGCATGCACGCACCCACCCACTCGCACCTGCAAAGACAAAGATCCCTCGTATAGCCTTAGCAGACTGTTGGGGAAAGTGCTGTTAGCGAGCACCTATGAAGGACGGGACGGTACACGAGGGGGTGGGGTGATCAACACCACGCCGGACCGCCTTTGTCTACCCAGTGGCGATGTTTACACACCGCACCAGGTACTCATTTGAGGCTGAGTCCAACTAGGAAAGGCCCAGGACCGGTTCAGATAATCGTCACTGGTGTCGACCCTGACTGGAAATCGAACTCGGGTCGCCGGGTTTGTAGTGTAGCGCACTAATAGCTACACCACTGCTCTGCTATGAACAAACTCACTATGTATAAACTTACTCACCCACTCACTCACCACTCACTCACCCAATCACTGACTCACCCACTCACCCACTCACTCACTCACCCTCTCACTCACCCACTCACAAACAACGATAACCCAACCATTTAGTCAACAACGCCGTGTTTGTGTGTGACCTTAAAAGAGAAACATAGAATCGGTGACGTTTTAGGCAATCAGCCCTGCTTCATGGTACATAACACTATGTAACAAAAAAAATGTTACTGGGTAGTAAGTGTTATTTCGTTATTGCCATTGCCTAAAAAGTATAGAAAATAGCTATTATTCCCCACAAACTTTGTTTTTGTGATCAGGACAGTAATATTTTGTAATTTACCTATGTTCAATGAGAAAACGGGCGAATTTGTGTCTTTTCATTCACATAAAGTCAGATAAAAAAACAAATGAATCAAAATTAACATGTATTTATACAAAATATTTAGAAGTGAGTAGTTAAATTTCGATTTAAAGCTTTCGTGACTGCAAGGATTCATCTTCTTTGGTTCTTTCGGTAAAGTCACATAGAATGAGAATAAAATAATCAAATAACACAATAAAATTCTCACGACGTTCGGCCACAACGCAAGCGGCCGTCGTGAGAATTTTATTGTGTTATTTTATTATTTTATTCTCATTCTCCGTGACTTTACCGAAAGAACCAAAGAAGAAGTGAGTAGTTTTTTTGAGATTTACGATTATACTGTAAATTGCTTTCACGAATCAGCCCCCAAATGTAGTCTTCCATCATGTTCTCGTTATACTGTCCTTGGTAGCGGCGTTCAAAGTCCAGTATATCCTGGTGGAAGTGATCGCCTTGCTCCTCCGAGTACACTCCCATGTTCTCCTTGAATTTATGAGCAGGCGGCCCAGAGGAGACACCTCGACCGCCGCCGCCTGCCCTGCCCGTAGTGCTCATCAACAGCCCGCGAGATACGACGGCGGCACGGCGGCGGCGCCGCGGCTGGCGCGCTACTGCGGCGCGGCGCCGCCCGGCAGCGTGCACTCGACGGGGCCCGCGCTGCTGCTGCTGCGAATGCGCACGGACGGCGAGAACGCCGTCACGGGATTCCTCGCCAGCTTCACGGCTGAGAGGCCCGCGCAGCCCGCAAGATGGCCGCCTGAGGCGCGCGCGGCCAGCAGCGGCTGGCGGGGCCGTTTGTGAGGGGGCCGAGGGAGCCGACGGAGGGGGCTGACGGAGCCGGGGGGGCCGACGGAGCGGGGGGGCCGGGGGGGGCCGACGGAGCCAGGGGGGGCCGACGGAGTCGGGAGGGGGGGGGCGACGGAGCTGGGGGGGGGGGGCGACGGAGCCAGGGGGGCCAAGGGAGTCGGGAGGGGGGGGCGACGGAGCCGGGGGGGCCTATGGAGCTGGGGGGGGGCGACGGAGCTGGGGGGGGGCGACGGAGCCGGGGGGGGGCGACGGAGCTGGGGGGGGCGACAGAGCCAGGGGGGGCGACGGAGGTGGGGGCGGGGCCGACGGAGCCAGGGGGGGGCCGACGGAGCTGGGGGGGGGCCGACGGTGTCGAGGGGGGGCGACGAAGCCAGGGAGGGGCGACGGAGCCAGGGGGGGGGGCGACGGAGCTGGGGGGGGGCGACGGAGCTGGGGGGGGGGCGACAGAGCGGGGGGGGGGCGACGGAGCCATCGGGGGGGCGATGGAGCCGGGGGTAGGGGGCCACGGAGCTGGGGGGGCCAACGGAGTCAAGGGGGGGGGGGCGGCGGGGCGACGGCGCAAGCAGAGAGAGCCGACACTGACTCACTCACACATCATACACTGACTCACTCACACATCATACACTGACTCACTCACACATCATACACTGACTCACTCACACATCATACACTGACTCACTCACACATCATACACTGACTCACTCACACATCATACACTGACTCACTCACACATCATACACTGACTCACTCACACATCATACAATGACTCACTCACACATCATACAATGACTCACTCACACATCATACAATGACTCACTCACACATCATACACTGACTCACTCACACATCATACACTGACTCACTCACACATCATACACTGACTCACTCACACATCATACACTGACTCACTCACACATCATACACTGACTCACTCACACATCATACACTGACTCACTCACACATCATACACTGACTCACTCACACATCATACACTGACTCACTCACACATCATACACTGACTCACTCACACATCATACACTGACTCACTCACACATCATACACTGACTCACTCACACATCATACACTGACTCACTCACACATCATACACTGACTCACTTACACATCATACACTGACTCACTCACACATCATACACTGACTCACTCACACATCATACAATGACTCACTCACACATCATACACTGACTCACTCACACATCATACACTGACTCACTCACACATCATACACTGACTCACTCACACATCATACACTGACTCACTCACACATCATACACTGACTTACTCACACATCATACACTGACTCACTCACACATCATACACTGACTCACTCACACATCATACACTGACTCACTCACACATCATGCACTGACTCACTCACACATCATACACTGACTCACTCACACATCATGCACTGACTCACTAACACATCATACACTGACTCACTCACACCATGCACTGACTCACTCACACATCATACACTGACTTTCTCACACATCATACACTGACTCACTCACACCATGCACTGACTCACTCACACATTATGCACTGACTCACTCACACATCATACACTGACTCACTCACACCATGCACTGACTCACTCACACATCACACACTGACTCACTCACACCATGCACTGACTCACTCACACCATGCACTGACTCACTCACACATCATGCACTGACTCGCTCATCATGCGCTTACTCACTCACACATCATACACTCGCACAACCACTGACCCATTCACTCATCATACACAGGTTCACTCATTGTTTGCTGGCTCACTCGCACATCATACACTGACTCACTCATCATGCGCTGACTAACACATCGTGCGCTGACTCACACATCATACACTCACTCACACTGCCACTGACTCGCTCACACATCATACACTTGCTCACACATCATTCACTAACTCACTTTTCATACGCTGACTCGCACATCATACACTCACTCACGCTGCTGCTGACTCACTCATCATATGCTGACTCGCACATCATGCACTCACTCACTCTGCTGCTGACTCACTCACACATCATA